GTGTGTGTGTGTGTGTGTGTGTGTGTGTGTGTGTGTGTGTGTGTGAGAGAGTGAGTGCAGGTGAGAGTGCATGTGTGTGTGTGAACCTACATGGCCAGATGGGGTGAGGTATCGGGAAGGGGTGGCCATTTACGTCTGATGCCTCCAGCCCACTTCACCTGAGCATAAAAACAGCTGAGCTCCTCATTCAGAGGCCCTCACACTTCACTGACTCTGCACACACACAGGGTGGACACACACTCCACACACACCTGGAAACACACAGAGAAGCTCATTTAGTCAAACCTGTGACGATGCCGTGTGTCAGCTGTCGTCCAGACCAGACGGTGAAGATGCCTTGTAGCTACAGCTCTGTGGTTGATAAAATCCTCATGGTAAGATTCACGTTTCTGCCTCTGGCGCTGAAATGAGACTTAAGTGACTTGTACCTTGAGTGATGCTGTGGATTTGTGTTTTTTATTTACTTGACTGTTGTGTTAGTTAACAACAGTCTGCACTGGAATAATTCTGACACTGAGAAACTGGATAATTCTGATGCAACTTTCTGCTGTATTTTATTGAAAATTTGTGGGAACTCAGTCCTCTTCACTTTACTCCGATGTTTTCTATTGTTAATTATATATTTGTAAGTTTTATCTTGTTCATTCTCATTTGTTTCTGCAATTCTGCTCTGGTTTTCACTGCACCATAACTTTTATTATAAGTAAACCCGAACCTTTTGTCCAGAGCAAACATGTAAAACCAAGTAAAACTATGGTTTCTGTGCTGCTTCTGACCTGCTCCCTCCTCCCTTATTGCAGGTAGAGCAGATCCTGTCAGAGTTCAGACTGAACAAGGAAGATCTTAAAGAAATCATGAAGCGGATGCAGTGTGAAATGGAGAGAGGACTGCGCTTAGAGACGCACGAGGAGTCCAGTGTGAAAATGCTGCCAACTTACGTGTGCTCCACCCCTGAGGGCTCAGGTAGAACATTTTAAACTTCATTTTTAAAATCATACAGATGTGACCAATATGTGATCTAACAGTCATCCCTTGGTGGCAGGTGAAGCCAGTATGTGTATTTACATGTAGTGTGTGTGTGTGTGTGTGTCTGACAGAGGTAGGTGATTTCCTGGCTCTGGATCTGGGGGGTACAAACTTCCGTGTCATGCTGGTCATAGTGGGTGAAGATGAGGAGAGGAGCTGGAAGGTAGAGACCAAGAACCAGATGTACTCCATTCCTGAAGATGCCATGACAGGGACGGCTGAAATGGTCAGTGAACTCAGCATTTGGATACAAAACCAATAATTCATTCAATCAGTGTTGATTTTTCATTGTTAAATATTTGTATATAATGAAATAACTTTTATTGAATAGTATGACGACTTCTGCTCTGGTCTTTGTGAACTCTAGCATGTCGTTGACATAAAACCTCTCAGAGTGAAATGAGCACTAATTATTGTGCATTTCTCCCACATCTCTCATCCTGCAGCTCTTTGATTACGTAGCAGAGTGCATGTCGGACTTTTTGGACAAACATCACATCAAGCACAAGAAGCTTCCTCTGGGTTTTACTTTCTCCTTTCCAGTGCGACATGAGAACATTGACAAGGTGGGAGGTTGATCTTTTACTCAATGCTAACAAGGACTGTTATCACGTTTCTATTCTAAATTGTTTTGTAAAGTTTAAATATGAGGTTTGTCCCTTTCTCACCACAGGGAATCCTCCTTAACTGGACCAAAGGCTTCAAGGCCTCTGGGGCTGAGGGCAACAACATTGTGGGTTTACTCCGAGATGCCATCAAGAGACGAGGAGTGAGTCACATTTCATCACAATCTATCTTTTGAAAAACTGAACAACTCGAGATACTTAACACCTGAATATGATGCTCTGTGATGTTGATATCACGCAGGACTTTGAGATGGATGTGGTCGCCATGGTGAATGACACAGTAGCCACCATGATCTCCTGCTATTACGAGGACCGCAGCTGTGAAGTCGGGATGATTGTTGGTAAGAAATTGAACACACTCACACATTCTACAACGATAAATGATATATATACAATTGTAAACATGCTCATGCATACACATATGTATACTGATCTCTCTTTTCACCAGGCACTGGTTGTAACGCATGTTACATGGAGGAGATGAGGACTGTGGAGCTGGTAGAAGGGGAGGAGGGCCGGATGTGTGTGAACACAGAGTGGGGGGCGTTCGGGGGCAACGGGGAGCTGGAGGAGTTCAGATTGGAGTACGACCGAGTGGTGGACGAGACCTCGATCAACCCTGGAAAACAGCTGTGAGTGAAAGTTCCACCATAAGTTCAACTTCACACATTTCACGAAACTTTCTGCATCTTTCCAACTGTATCAGTTTTACCCCCGTGCACACATGACAAGTGTTAGTCAGCTGTTATTCAACTTTACCGTAGTGTGTATGGAGTCTGAAATGCAGATTGTAATCCTCCTCACTCTCTTACCGTTCTCGATATTAATCATGCCCCCATTGGCAATTCTCACCAGACTCTCCTCCGAGGTCTCTGTGGAGGTGCTAAGCTACCAGCTGTTTTTCATGAGGATGTCTGTAAATGGCCAGAGCCCTCACGTCAGTGGGTGGGGGTGTCAGATTAATGACCTCTCTTCCCAGTGCTTGTCACTGTGCCTGTCGGCCTAATGGCTGTTTGCCTTTGTGCACTGGCAGCCCCTTCACACAGACAACTGCTGAGCCCAGCCTCGGCACTGACGTTATCATCCCTGTGTAGAGACAGAAAGTTGTTTGCTCGTACGTTGCATGACTCACACATCCTTCCTCTTTTTTTCCACTGTTTCAATATCCACTCTTTCTTTGAGTGCTCCATTGGTGTTTAAAGAGAGCTCTCTGGTGCTGTTGCCTCCTGTAGATATGAGAAGTTGATCAGCGGGAAGTACATGGGAGAGCTGGTGAGGCTTGTTCTGATGAAGCTGGTGAATGAAGACCTGCTGTTTAACGGCGAAGCCTCGGAGCTGCTGAAGACACGTGGCAGCTTTGAGGCGCGTTACGTCTCACAGATGGAGAGGTGAGCACCAGCCAGTCCACCTGCTATAGATGGCTAAATGTATAAAAACTACCTATAAAACACATGAGACAAGGAAAAGATATGATAAATATTATTGCATACATATACACATATATATATATATCCATTTGTAAAACTATTTCCAACATCATCATACATTACATACATAAACATAATAAAGTAGCTCAGCTTTAGTTTATTGATTAAGTAGAGTCAATTAAGTTAATATTTTTAACTTAATAATGTTTCCATTAATAAAGTAAGCTTTTATAATTTTGATATGAAGAGACACTTTTGTTTTCTTTATATAAAATTGCATTATTTTAATAAGCTTGAAAAAAGAATTAAATTAGATGAATGGAAAATCTATATATTTTATATAAATGTGTGTTTAAATATATATATATATATATATATATATATATAAACAAATACAGAATCAAACAATGAGAGAAACAAGACAACCATTTTGCCATTTGCCTTTTTTTCAGTGATACTGGAGACAGAAAACAAATCTATAATATCCTGTCATCCCTGGGTGTTCTGCCGTCAGAGCTGGACTGTGATATCGTACGTCTGGTCTGTGAGAGCGTTTCCACCCGCTCCGCTCACATGTGCGGTGCAGGACTCGCAGGTGTGATCAACACAATGAGGGAGCGACGCAGCCAGGAGGCCCTGAAGATCACAGTGGGGGTTGACGGGTCTGTGTACAAGCTGCACCCGTGGTGAGGAATGCCTTTTAAATGTCTTCATATTCTTAGTCCACACCAACACATGAGATTATACAATTATATAGAATTATATCCTGAACAGTGCAGGGGAAAGTTAGAAGACAGATTGAGATTGTTGTATCTATGTCTCAGTTTCCGTGACAGGTTCCACAAAGTGGTCAGGGACCTCACGCCTCACTGTGAGATCACCTTCCTCCAGTCAGAGGAGGGCAGCGGCCGTGGAGCAGCTCTTATCTCAGCAGTGGCCTGTAAGATGGCTGCGTGCATGCTCACACAATAAAGGGGGCTAAGCACTGAGCTGCTCCCCCCCCGCAGGACAGCAGTGAAGTTAGCCTGAACCCTGATCTGAGATCACTGATGATCATCTACAGACGTGCAGCTTCTCCAGGCTCTGAGGGATGTGTCAGTGAGCTGCACGCTCACGAGTGGATGATGTACAGACAAGAGAGCAGCAGTATTGTAGACTGTATTTGATAGTATTGGACCAAGTTGTAGTAATATCAGTGTTATTGTAAATTAAAGAATTGGATTCCTGTTGCACCCAAAACATTAGGCGGCTCATTTAAAATGGCTGCTCCATTTTGAAAATGGCACATATATTATTGATGATAGTTTATAACACCAGTAAAAACTGGTTGATGTGTAGCACAAGGATACTTTTTGTAAATGCTGTTGTAAACTATACCACCACATCAAAATCGTTGCTTTATTGTGTAGTAATTCCTGTTTGTAAACAAAAGCTTATTTCTTTGACATCTAATGTTTAAATTTAAATGTTTGTAACTCCATGTGTGTTTGCCAGTAATTTGTAATTTTTCACATGTGTACGATGAAATGTACTCTGTGATGATGTGAATAAGCTTAACTGTAAATAAAACAACTAATTAGAATTAAAAAGAATTGAATTGATGTTAATGACCCTAAACCCAAATACAAACAAACATGATATTCATATTCATACTCAATATTATGTTCAGTTTACTTTATTTATTCATTAACTTAATTCTGATATTTTCTTGTCAGGAATATTTATTTGTACAAAACTTTACTTTCATGAATAAGCAACTGATTTCCATCTGCAGTCTTACTGGGCTGAATTATGTTAAAACAGAATGTGATCATTGATTTGTTTGTTTCCATTTTCATTGAAAAAGTTTTAAGAATGATAAAAGTTTGAGATAACCCCCCCCTCCACACACACAGCTCCTGATTCCCAAGAGACTCCTCAGATTATCATGTCTCATTTGCTGCAGAGATTTATTATATTTGCAGGCGGTTGTGTTGCATCACAGATGGCTGCTGCTATACTCTTCACGAAATTGCAAATAAAATGTACATTTATCGTACATTTAGAGCTTGATGTGGCCTCTGACATTAGGAAAATTTACTTGGTTAAGTGACTGTCAAACATCAGAGGTCACTCTCCCTTGTCTCCTCTCTCCCTCTGCGCTCCCCATATCTTTATTTTCCAGCCTGGAGGAATCCTGGCTGCTTCACCTCTTATCGGGTCCTTACAGTGACACACAGAGAGCAGCCGTGGCCATGTAAGGGACTGTGCTGCCCACCACAGGCTATTATAGGAGGGCAGGAGATAAGATAGGTTCATACATAAAACCCACCCCAGCATCACACCTCTGCTGGGAGTCCACACACGATCATTCAGAACATGGTAAGTCAGTCCACCTTTATGTGATGTGTTCAGATGTCAGTGATTTTAAAGAAAACCTATCACAAAATATGGGAATCTTATTATTTTGTTAGGGAATGTGTGTTTTTTACATCTTTTTCCAATGATTAAAGCAGTTGTTTAATATCCTTATAATTGATTTGTACGCATTACAGAAACCTGAGCCTGCAGTAGAAATATCAGTGTGTAAACTGAATAAGTTTCATGTCCTCAGGCGAGTAAGAAGGCCTCCAATAAGAGACAGAGGGGAGGACAGAAGTCCTGCTCCAATGTCTTCTCCATGTTCGAGCAGAGCCAGATTCAGGAGTTTAAGGAGGTGCGGTAATCAACTTTATGTCTTTAAAAGTTTGTACAGGAACCTGTGATTGTTGATTCTCAAACTAATACAAGGGAATGAAAAAATCAAATTGAACTTCTTAAGTTAAACCAATCTCTAGCAAAATGATTGAGGTGGCCTCATAGACAGCAATCAAGGAATACCCATAGTTTAAAACTGTAAAAAGAAAGTATCAATAATTCTCGGACTTAAAAAAAACGTTGGCTATGTTTATGAAGCTTCTTGTTCAACAAGTCCTATAAAAGATTAGTGTCAGAATTTCTTGCAGAATTTTCCATAATAAAGACAAAGTTAATGAAATTCTAAAGCAGTTTGTAAAGAACAGAAAACAAACAGACTGGTTATTACATCTGGTGAAGGAAAGATTAATCATTGTGAACTGTGCAGGGCAGAATACGTACTTCCCAGAAGTGCTGTTATTTTAATGAATCATGCACTTAAGATTTTTTTTATTCCTGGTTTACCCCACAGGCCTTTGGTTGTATCGACCAGGACAGGGACGGTGTTATCAAAAAACAAGACTTGAAGCAGACGTATGCACAGCTGGGTATTTTTATCTACTTTTTAAGTCTTCATGTTTTTAATCTGTTGCTATGAAACGGTTCCACTGACTAGGTGTTTCAACTGTGTGTGTGTGTGTGTGTGTGTGTGTGTGTGTGTGTGTGTGTGTGTGTGTGTGTGTATCAGGGAAACTTAATGTCAATGACGAGGAGTTGGATGAGATGCTGAACGAGGGGAAAGGGCCCATTAACTTCACTGTGTTCCTGTCTCTGTTTGGAGAGAAACTCAATGGTGAGAACTTTTCACACATGATCAAATCAATCTTTGATTCATTTTAAATTCATAACACATGTTCAGATGATGTTGGTGAAATTCTATTCTTCCTCAGGTACCGATCCTGAGGACACCATACTTGCTGCCTTCAAACTATTTGATCCCAATGGCACAGGCTTTGTCAACAAGGATGAGTAAGACACATTCTATTAAT